AGGGGGGGCTGGGGGGGGGCCTGAGGGGAGAAGGGGATCGACCGTATATAGGTTGCCGGGAAGCTTGTGGGGGGGGGGGAAGGGGGGCGGGGGTGGGGGGGGGGTGGAGGTAGTTGGGGTGGGAGTGGGGGGGGGGGGAGGAGGGCGGAAGGGGGGGGGTGGAGGTGGTGGGGGGGTGGGGGGGAGGGAGTCGAGAGTGGGAGGGTTGGGAGAGGGGGGGGGGGGGGGGTAGGGGGTGCATGGTGATGGGGTGGAGGGGTCGGTGGGGGGGGGAGGATGGGTGGAGGCGGGGGAGGGGGGGAGGTTGGGGTGGGCTGGGGGTGGGTGGGGGGGGGGTGGGGGGGGGGGGGGTGGGGGGGGGGGTGGGGGGGGGGTGGGGGGGGGGGGGGGGGGGAGGGGGGCGGGGGGGGGGGTGGGGGGGGGGGGGGGGGGGGGGGGGGGGGGGGGGTGGGGGGGGGGGGGGGGGGGGGTGGGGAGGGGGGGGGGGGGGGGGGGGGGGGGGGGGGGGGGGGAGGGGGGGGGGGGGGGGGTGGGGGGGGTGGGGGGGGGGGGGGGGTGGGGGGGGGGGGGGGGGGGGGGGGGGGGGGGTGGGGGGGGGGGGGGGGGGGGGGGGGGGGGGGGGGGGGGGGGGGGGGGGGGGGGGGGGGGGGGGGGGGGGGGGGGGGGGGGGGGGGTGGGGGGGGGGGGGGGGGGGGGGGGGGGGGGGGGGGGGGGGGGGGGGGGGGGGGGGGGGGGGGGGGGGGGGGGGGGGGGGGGGGGGGGGGGGGGGGGGGGGGGGGGGGGGGGGGGGGGGGGGGGGGGGGGGGGGGGGGGGGGGGGGGGGGGGGGGGGGGGGGGGGGGGGGGGGGGGGGGGGGGGGGGGGGGGGGGGGGGGGGGGGGGGGGGGGGGGGGGGGGGGGGGGGGGGGGGGGGGGGGGGGGGGGGGGGGGGGGGGGGGGGGGGGGGGGGGGGGGGGGGGGGGGGGGGGGGGGGGGGGGGGGGGGGGGGGGGGGGGGGGGGGGGGGGGGGGGGGGGGGGGGGGGGGGGGGGGGGGGGGGGGGGGGGGGGGGGGGGGGGGGGGGGGTGGGGGGGGGGGGGGGGGGGGGGGGGGGGGGGGGGGGGGGGGGGGGGGGGGGGGGGGGGGGGGGGGGGGGGGGGGGGGGGGGGGGGGGGGGGGCGGGGGGGGGGGGGGGGGGGGGGGGGGGGGGGGGGGGGGGGGGGGGGGGGGGGGGGGGGGGGGGGGGGGGGGGGGGGGGGGGGGGGGGGGGGGGGGGGGGGGGGGGGGGGGGGGGGGGGGGGGGGGGGGGGGGGGGGGGGGGGGGGGGGGGGGGGGGGGGGGGGGGGGGGGGGGGGGGGGGGGGGGGGGGGGGGGGGGGGGGGGGGGGGGGGGGGGGGGGGGGGGGGGGGGGGGGGGGGGGGGGGGGGGGGGGGGGGGGGGGGGGGGGGGGGGGGGGGGGGGGGGGGGGGGGGGGGGGGGGGGGGGGGGGGGGGGGGGGGGGGGGGGGGGGGGGGGGGGGGGGGGGGGGGGGGGGGGGGGGGGGGGGGGGGGGGGGGGGGGGGGGGGGGGGGGGGGGGGGGGGGGGGGGGGGGGGGGGGGGGGGGGGGGGGGGGGGGGGGGGGGGGGGGGGGGGGGGGGGGGGGGGGGGGGGGGGGGGGGGGGGGGGGGGGGGGGGGGGGGGGGGGGGGGGGGGGGGGGGGGGGGGGGGGGGGGGGGGGGGGGGGGGGGGGGGGGGGGGGGGGGGGGGGGGGGGGGGGGGGGGGGGGGGGGGGGGGGGGGGGGTGGGGGGGGGGGGGGGGGGGGGGGGGGGGGGGGGGGGGGGGGGGTGGGGGGGGGGGGGGGGGGGGGGGGGGGGGGGGGGGGGGGGGGGGGGGGGGGGGGGGGGGGGGGGGGGGGGGGGGGGGGGGGGGGGGGGGGGGGGGGGGGGGGGGGGGGGGGGGGGGGGGGGGGGGGGGGGGGGGGGGGGGGGGGGGGGGGGGGGGGGGGGGGGGGGGGGGGGGGGGGGGGGGGGGGGGGGGGGGGGGGGGGGGGGGGTGACGGGGTTAAGAGGGGGCGGGGTAGGGGCACCCGTATGGCGGAAGGGGGGGGGGGGGGAGCGTACGCGTGGGGGGGGGGGGGGGGAGGGGGCCGGGATTTGCGGGAAGGGGGGGGAAGGAGCGGAGGTAGAGGATGGCGGGGGGGCGGTGGCCCTCGAAGGGGGTATGTAGGACGGTGGCAGGGGCGGCCTCACTTACTTACTCACTTAGTAAGCGAATGTGTTCTCTTGATGTACAGTCGCTCTTCACTAACATCCTGCTGAAGGAGATTGTAACTTAGCTCTGGGAGTATATCAAAACATAACATCTGACTGCCGCTCCCCGCAAAAATATTGCAGCACTTGCTACTTTTGTGCAAGAAAGACATCAAGTTATTATGAATCAATATCAGAAATCATTTCAGGGCAAAGAATTCTTTTCGGTAAATCTCATCAGACCCAAACTTTTACAGAGGCGAAATGAGGTCTTCAGACAGCTCTATCATGTCGCACCTCCTTGAATGTGGCCATACAGCTTCAGAGAATGACTTCAAAGTCATTTACTCATTACCTGAACACTTCTCCCAAGGATTCCGCAAACAGCTCTTATCTATCGCCGAGGTTATGTACATTCACCATCTAAAGCCGGAATTATGTGTCCAAAAACGATTTATACTGCCGATATTACTACCTTGGCCAACGGACACCGTTACTTAGTTATTTGGCTGTCATCTTACCTACTTAATTACCTTGTACTAATGAGCCTTGTGTACACATGCTTATTTTGTTTACTTGGTCTACCATGATTTCTGATATTGATTCATGTTAATGAAATGGGAATCTTTGCTTTGCTGAAGATCAGCATTGCCCGTAATTCATTGAAACATCAAGTTATATTTCACAGGGAAGGCATATCGACAGATAGACGGTGTTGCAATGGACAGTCCACTCGGCCCTTTGCGCACGGATCTGTTCATAGGTATGATCGAAGAGAGGGCAGAGGATATCATAAAACTGTCATGTGGATGCTGTACGGCTTATCATAGATTCCGATGAGGACAGCCTGCGTTTGTCCGTGACACTACACATCATGCACTGAAAGGTTACATTGACATGTGACATAGTGCAAAACAATTGTCTTCTATATCTAGACCTACTGATCACATGGCGCATGGATGGTTCGAGCAGAAGCTCGGTCTGCGGAGTAGTGACGTGGATAGGTCAGTATTTGCCGTTTAAGAGTTTCTCCCCCATAGAACACAAATGCTCGCTCGTCCGGACGCTATTTCATCGAGCCCATATGATTTGCACCCCAGAGACCTTCGAAGCGGGGGAAAATTTCCTATTCAATACACCACAATCAAGCGGTTCTCTGCTACAGTTTATTAAGCGCATTAGCGACATAGCCAAGCAACATCGCGTCCCAAAAGTTTAAAAGAAGCCGATCTTCATCGAACTGTTATTCAATGTTGATCATATTATGGAAATCACTGCGAGGCATTTAACTGCTTCAGTGAAAAGGGCGTACAATGCAGCTGAACTACAGGTGCTAAAATCAACATGACCTCTGAGTGTGTGTTCCATCAAAACACCGATAGCGTATGTCGCATTGCTTATACAAACTCACCTGTAGCTGCGGAGACAGTCATATCAAGCATACTAACCGAAGATCAGGTGTCAGGATCAATGAGCACATTGCTAAATGGTTACGCGCGCGGATGGGCTGGGCAACGACGGGATCGGGTGAATTGAGAAATCGAGCTGCCTCAGCAATCACAAGGCACCTACTGAGCACCGGCCACCGATTTAACCCCGACAAGTCATTCACCGTCCTGATGCGCAATCAGCGACCCCACATTATCAGGCTATTGGAAGCCATCGTACTCGATCAAGAGCGGCCACTGCTTTGTGTGGAGAAACAGTTGACTTTGAACCTAAACCTACCGTGGTAGTGTGAGGCATGATGATTGGCCAACGATTGGCTAACTATTGATTTCATATGACCGCGTTTTTTATATCTATGATTTCTGCATGACTTGTGAATGAGGAGTTTTCACGAAATGACTGAGTCATAACACAGTTTATGTATTCTGCTTTTTCTATTTTTTCTTTGTGCACTTGTTTTCAGTTTGTTGGTGAGTCATTCCATTCATGTGACGCGCGCTCACAGTGTGCAACGTTTTGTCGTATACAGTGCACTTTTAGTCTCTTACTATCTGCTACCAAAGGGTATTTGTGATACTTGCTAGAATTTCGCACCCCACATTTTGATAACCCACTTAGGACCGCGTAGTGTGAACCTCAGTTACCCTCACATCGGTCCACGTCTACATATACCGCGCTCGACACTAATGACAAGTTGTATTATCTCGAGTCAGCTTCAACGAGCACCCACGCGTCGAATAACCTCCATCGAGTACACCATGGTAGGAAACTTTGATTACCGTGAGCCATTTGTTACAAAGCACTCTGCAGGCTGGGATGACCAATTGGGATTCACTCTTCGTTTGTGTAAATACCATGATTCATGACCGTCTATTCTTGTCTCTCATACAGTTTCATTGGTGACCGGTTATCTCTCTCACTCTTCCCTTACAGATTCCACGACAGCTGCAAGGCACCATATGTAACCGCTTAGAGATCAGTTCAATTAAACTGATGATCTGGCCGTTGATCACTAATCAGTATTCCAGTCTTATTTTGGACCAAAGACCATGTTTCATCCTTTAAGCCAACTAGCGAGGGCACCAAAGTGCCTCCAGTTTCACCTATATTGAGCATTTGCCCAGCCACTTGTGAGCTTATCCATCTAGCTGACCACTCAATGATATACCAAGATTTACTATATTGGGTAACAGCATATTATGTATAAAGTGTATATTCCATTTCATAAGAATTTTTCACGACAATAAAACGCCTTTGGTTACTGGGTACTTATTGCTCTCAATCTGCCGACCAACTGCTCATTAGGTTGAAGCACTCCCGTCAATGACTTGACGACTATTGGGCTTGCAAGGTTTACTTCATTTCATGGCCAATAAGTGTGTTATAATTGTTCTCCAGGATGAACTAGTTTGATGATTGCTTCAGAGAATTTAACGCCTGTGGTGATTTTCTTGTTAATCAGCCGTGGCTTGGGGTGAATTTAAGCAGGTCCCAAGTGAGCCGTTCAGCTGGGCTGTCGAGCAGCACGCGTTGGAAATCACCTTGTGGATCAGACACTAGGGTCAAGGGCTCCGAGTAGAGTTGCCAAAGCAAAGGTCAATGCATTAGTCAGTCAGAAGCTAAAGGTGAAATACTTATCACATATTCCCTTTTTAGGGAATTCGCAACCAAAAATACCATCGGCAAACAAGACCCCATTACCAGTGTTCCTTCTTAGTCTGTTTTCTCTCCCTCAATTATCTTCTTCCTGTATGATCCACAAGTGAACTACCGCTGACTCCACAAATGAGTTAATGGTCTACCTACTTCTTCCTTCAGATCTTGTCTCATTTCATGTTGGGGTCCTAATCGCTTACGACGTACCGCTGGTTGGTCTGACGAATAGTTAAGCAGAACTCTCTAATACATTAGAACATACATGTGTTAGACATGCATATACAATATTGGTGAAGCGAGTATATTCATCATGATTTGGTGCCTCTAAGCATTCACGGCTCCGATTTCGTCCTTGCCTGAATTGCCGAATAAGATCTTGATGTATATTTGACTAAGCTCGATGCTATTTCTGACCTCCAATGGGCTCAATAAACACAGACCTTTGATACGGCGTATCATTCACTTTTCCCTGTATGCCCCAATGGACTATAGCTTGAATGCTGTCAAGCAAGGATACAATTGAAGACTTTAATCTTTTATTGGGGTTGGCATCCCTATCCTGTCCGTTGATACGAATGCCCAAATGAGTAGCTTTTGCACTCTCAACGCCATCGCAATGAAGCTGGACCTTACCGTGGTGCGACGGTTCGTGTGCCTCAGTGATCCATTGAGCTATACTGGGTGAGGTATTTTGCACCTTCAGAGTCACTCATACCAGATTGGTCAGTGGTTAGAGGCCAGACAAACTCAGCCTCCTGGTCCTCCAGATTAGGGATTGGAATGAGGATGGCTTCTTATTCCTTAAAACGGACTCCTTGTAGCCCAACGCCAAACCCGCTGCCTTGCGGTCAGGTTTTTGAACCGAAGGTCTTGCTTGAGAACCCAAATCTTTCACCTGTCTGGGCCTGGGCAACCTGATAGTATGCTGCGCACGGAATAATATGAACCTTTCGTCAAACAAATTTCTGGTACTCTGGCCACCGCCGAGGATAAGCAACGGTGCCTTATCTGCTGCATCGAGCAGGGTGGATAGGGGTTTAGAAGCTATTGCTCAAGCCTTCTCGTCTTCTTATTCCCCTTCTTAGGTATTTTTTCCCTTATGGTCCCGTTCAAACTTCACTTTTACCAAACCAGTTTTCAACCCCCCGATTCTTGGCTCTCCCTCAACATGCATTGCTAGGCGATTATCTTTTAGTTTCAACTCACATGCAAATGCGGAGTATCACTTCTGCCCTGTCCAAGCGGTCAAGTCCAGTTCAGTAGCTTCCAGTTTGAGCCCTCGGTCCTCCTTCAGATTGGCATGCCTCAGTTTACCCACATTGCTACACATTGGTCAACAGACAGCACTTGCTTGAACTTTAGAGACCCTCTCGATCGATACCAGCAGCCTACCGGAGACCCGCCTGCAAGACTCGAGTGCTGTGCCCACTCTGCGATCCTCTTCAGGTGACACCAGCAGCACTTTCTCATTGCGACTATCCGGTGATGATGCAGCTTTGAGCACCGGCCAAGCTGGTGTTGGTATTGCCCGGAGTCCCCGGGCTGAAGCTGCTCTGGTTGATTGGATCCCAGTCAGTAGCCGGATGTGTGCGGTCCGACTGGCTGGTTCGTTCAAAGGTTCGAAGTCGCGCGGGACTAATAGGAGTCTATTCGTCATCGCTGTCTACGCGCCCACAAACTGTAGCGATGATTCGGTAAAGGACAACTTCTACCGCCAAATTACCGAGCTCCTTCGCCACAGAAGAAGCACGGACACTGTTGTGCTGGCGGGTGATCTGAACGCTCAAGTCGGAATTTATCCATTGATGAACTGCATCTGAGCAGCCAGCAAGGTGTAGGCTCCCGTAATGATAACCGGGAGCAGCCACTTTA